CTTGGAATGCCCATCCCCCCCCCTCACTAGTTGCTCTGTGTCCATAGAGTGCAGCATGAAATCTGCTGCTTGGTGCAGAGTTTGCCTTCCCGAGTACCCCTGTTTTCCTTTGAAAGAAGAAGAAGAAAGCTTCTCGTCCACCGGTGTTTTTAACCTTGTCTTGAGGACAGGCTGCTGAGAGGGTGAGCGAATGGCTTACCCAGAGAGTTCAAGGCAAAGGAGTGGTCTTGCCCATTAAGCCACACTACCGCCTGCTGGCAGTATGTAGTGCCCTTCCCAGGCCTCCTTCCATGGCCATGGGTTGGTGAAGCCCTGCCCAGGGCTCTGCTGTTTTTCTTCTCTTTCGTTGACAGCTGGCTATTTGAGGCCGGGGAGGAGGAGGCCGTGCATATCAGCATTGCTGTCGTGGCCAGATTGGGATGGGTTGTGCCATGGGCTCTGGATGCCTTCTGCGCGGCAGGTTATACGAGTCAGGCCGCAATTCAAGAGTTTCAGGAACATTGTCTTGCAAAGTGGTGCTTTTTAAAAAAAGTTTGTCATTCTTGTGCAGCGACTGTAAAAATGCTAAGCGATAAAGCAGAATATCAAGGAAACTGATCACCTTTGCATGAATGGCCTGGCCTCTAATGAAGGGTCCCTGTTTAATATGAGTCTGTTGAAACTGCTGATGTGTTTAAACACTTAAAGACTGCCTAACTGGATCAGACCAGGGGTCTGTCTGGCAGCAGCTCTCCCCCTAGGATTGCTGGGTCCCCACCCCCACCCCAGCCACTGGCGGGGGGGGGGTTGGGTTGAGCAGCTCCAGATTGGGAAACTCCTGGAGATTTGGGTGTGGATCCTGGAGAGGACGGGGATCTCAGTGGGGTACCACGAAGTCCACCCTCCAAAGCATCCATTTTCTCCAGGGGAAATGATCTGCGTAGTCCAGAGATCAGCTGTAATTCTGGGGGATACCCCAGTCCGGCTCAATTTTTTAGCATTTAGAGTTATATTGCTTCTGTGTATGGAGGTTCCATTTGGCTTGTGTGACTAATAGCTGAGGATGGTCCTCTCCTCCCTGAATTTCTCTAGTCCCCTATGAAAGTCCATCTAAGGTAGTGGCAGAGAAATCTCTACATTAATTGCATTGTTGTCTGAACAAGTACCTTTCCAGTATAGTGCAAATCAACTTCCAGAGGTCATCCCAGTTTTTCTTTTGTGAAAGAGGAAAACAGGCCCCTCTGAACACTGTTCGGAGTTTCCTAAGCCTCGCTCACATTCCCCCAGCGTTGCTCCAGCTGTTATGGGGAAGGTGCCCCAACCTCAGTGTTGGGAAGAGTCTACCGTATCCCTGCTGGGAGAGAGACCAGAAGTGCTGTATCAGCAGCAATGTTCCCTCTAAGCTGTGGAGTCTTGTGAGCAAAAATTCTACTTTGTGAGCTACGGGCATTAAAGCTGTGAGTGAGAGATATGGCTACTGCATAAATTAGTTTGCTCTGGAGCCATCCCTTCCTGAGCTAAGACAAAAATGTGTGAGCCAGAGGCTAAAAAACTGTGAGCTAGCTCACACTAACTCAGCTTAGAGTGAACACTGATCAGCCGTGGCAGTTTTGGGGAGGGTGGCGTGGGCTGAGGTTTTGACCCTGTGTAGTCATTGTAGAGGCAGATAAGAAAAGAGAGGCTGGCCCCGAAGGACTGTAATGTTGCCTTTTGGATCAAAGAATGCTCTTTTCTTGGGGCAT